CCCCCCCCCCCCCCCCGCAAGAGAAAGAATTCTCTCCCAACTTTCTAACTATTCTTCAGAGAGCCCTTTTGCTCTACCCTTAGGAACTTATGATATCCTAATTGTTTATGTTTCTTCAGAGGTGAATAACATAGAGCCCAAAAGTAGATTTTATTGCTCTGACAGGATAAGTTTTGAAGGATTAAAAGTGACCGGAGTCTCAAATGCCAGGGTCCTGACTGGCCGGTGTTTGTGTTTCAGGCTATATCGTCTTCAGCGGGCCTCGTCGAGCCAACGGCATACAGGGCTTACGATTCATCATCCAGTCAGAAAAGCCTCCTCACTACCTAGAAAGCCGAGTGGAAGCTTTCTTAATCACCATGGAGAAGTCCATAGAGGACATGACAGAAGAGGCTTTTCAAAAACACATTCAAGCATTAGCAATTCGTCGACTAGACAAACCAAAGAAACTGTCCGCAGAGTGTGCTAAATATTGGGGGGAAATCATCTCCCAGCAATACAATTTCGACAGAGGTAAGGCACAATTAGGGCCCCAACGTTTATGGCATATAAGTGTAACATTTGAGGTCACCAAGGCTATTCTACAAAACGGTGGTTGTTTTGTAGGTGATGTTCCGGTTACTAATTTGGTGGTGTGGAGTGTCATACTTCTAAAGAACCATCGCTTTAACATAAGAGCAGTTTTTATTAGAAACTTTATCTTTTTTTCTTCTCCAAAATTGGAGCTGGATCTTCCTGTATCTCATAATAATACAGTAAGAATAAATCTAATTTCACTTTTTGTGTTTAGTCAGTATGCCCCTGAGGCTCTGAGCACAGGCTTGCGGTTATCTATTTCCCATAACACCGAAAAAAGAAAAAGGAAAATTTGCAGACATAAGTGCTGCCCTGGAGGCACAGGGCTTCAAACAGATGCCTGTAGGGATTACCAAAAATGTGTCGGGGCTTTTACACTGGGGACAGCTGTGCTTCCTGAAGTCTCCTGCTTACTGACTTCCTTGGCGTTTCTTCTAGAGCAGAAATCAACAATGCAGAGCGCTAAGCCACACCAGAAGTTGGGGGTTCGGTGGGGGGGTTGAGTTGTGTTCTCATTGTGACACCAACAGCCTGAAGATCTTTGGCCAAGACACCTTTTTGAGGGCCTCGGTTTTCTTACCTGTAATTTTTTTAGCAGTTGGAGTCACTGTTAATGGTAATTGTACTGACCATCTATTGAACATTTGCCGTAAGTGCAGCATCGTGTTACTGTCATTCATCATTTTCCTTAGTTCTCACTACAGACCCATTAAGTAGTTATTATCCCCAATTTCCAGAGGAGGAAACAGAGGCTCAGAAAAATTGACACAACTAGCCTAAAGATCCAGTATTTCAGAAGTAGAGAGCCAGGCTATATTCTTACTCCTTACTTGATATTTATTCCCTGACTACTTGCAAGAACAGATGATCACTTAAAAATACAGAGACCTGGGGCGCCTGGGTGGCGCAGTCGGTTAGGCGTCCGACTTCAGCCAGGTCACGATCTCGCGGTCCGTGAGTTCGAGCCCCGCGTCGGGCTCTGGGCTGATGGCTCGGAGCCTGGAGCCTGTTTCTGATTGTCTCCCTCTCTCTCTGCCCCTCCCCCGTTCATGCTCTGTCTCTCTCTGTCCCAAAAATAAATAAACGTTGAAAAAAAAAATTAAAAAAAAAAAAAATACAGAGACCTAAGAACATTGGAGTGAAATGTATTGTCATTTAATGTAGTATTCTGGGCTACTTAAGATGGAAATATTAGTAAATTATTGTTTGATTGCTTTTTCAGATAACACAGAAGTTGCATATTTAAAGACACTTACCAAGGAAGATATCATCAAATTCTACAAGGTAAGTTGAATTTGTATGTTTAGATTTTGACTCATAAGCAAATATTATATATGCTGTGTGGTTTGTTACTGCTTTGAACTTAGTGCCCTGCTTAGAGCTGCAGCCTTAGTCAGGTCACCTTCTCCAAAGGTTCTTTTACATGTGAGGCAGCAGTGGGAGCATGTGTGGCTTCTGAATGCAGACCCAGGGCTCATCGCTGGCGAGATAGCCCTGTGACCTCAGCCAGGGGGCTTAAGCTTCTAAGTCTCAGTTTCCTCACTTACAAAATAGAGATTAGTAGGAGTATTAATTGAAATGAGGTGCATAAAGTGATTGGCACTTAGCAGAATTTAATAAATGATCTCCATTACTGTGGTCTCTTCATTAGTAATTCTCAGCCTCCGTTTTTACATGTTTTAATCAGAATACTTTAATGTTTTCCTCATTGATATTATAAGTTTTAGTTGTGTTTATTTATTGCTTAGGACTATTTGCTTTGTGAGGTTAGGTATCTGTTCTCAGTTGCTTGCAAGAAAGGGTGATCATATTAGCTCTTTTTGGTTTCTGAGGGATTCATTTTAAGGCATTCTTAGTTGTGGGTGTTTAAAAAGAGTGATGTCCTGATATAACTTACTCTAGGGTTTGCAGAAGCAGTGAAGATTTTTTCTTTCCCTCCACAACGTCTATTATTCATTGGAATTACAAGTAGTACCTGATTATTGAATTTGTAAGAATAGTTATAAGACTGAGTCGATTTTGTCTTAAAAATGAGAGTTTTGTTACCAAGCTTAAACTAAGTCTAGAACATCATTTCCCTTGCTGTATTCCATGGTACACTAGTTTTCTACAAGATATTAGTAGGGACACATACAAAAAAGGGTTTCATGACCATGTAAGTGTGGGAAAGACTACACTCTTTATTCCTGTTTTTGGAGAATTACAGAGCATGTTAACATTTAAAAGTTCTAAGAAGCCCCATACTAAAGATTTCTTTAGCCCAGCATTTAATTTTGATTAACAAAACTCCCTAAAGAGATTCATCATGGACCTGTTTGTTTTTCCCCCACAGAATACCTATTAAGTGTTTCCTGGGACTCCAATGTTCCTTAGAATATAGCTTGCAAGAAAAATGCAGTTTGCTTATTGGCTGGTTTGTGTTTAGAAAGATGGAGATTGTCCAGAATTGTTCAGGAAATTGAGAATAGTCTGAAACTGAAGAAGGTGTTACACTCTTCTACTGATAAAGGTTGATAAGAGGGCAATGAAGGCTTGGGTGAAAAGGGATCCTGAATAGACCTTTGGAAGCAAACTTTTTACTCAATAAGACAGACAATCTCAGATGAGCTGCTATATATTACTGGAGGCGGACCTGTGCTGAGCTCCTGAAAGGGGCTGGAGAGGCCAGGGCAGGCCTGTGGGAGAATCTGGGCTGTCCTGCCAGCTGGAGGGAGCCATGGTCAGGTTTGTTGTCCAACCTCATCAGGATTTCCATCGCGGCTGCACAGGACCAGGCTTGTAATAACTGCTCCATAAACCATTATTGACCTGATTTGGCTTTGCTAATGATCTCTCCCTCTGAGGGTATGACCAGGGGAAGTTTCATCACACCTTGTGTTTTCCCTTTGGAAAAGACAGATAATGGTCTAGCATTAAGGAAAAGGTCGAGAGACACATTTCCATGGGATCTGCCAACTCACCACTCCTGATATTCATGGTATGACCTAGGGAACTCCTTCAGAGCAGCCTGCTGGAGCAGAGAGAGAAAAAGCAGGCCTTGCTTTCTGATGCCATCACTGTGAACTACGTGACTTGAGCAAGTCGTCATACTTCCCTGTGTCTCAGAGTTCCGTATCTCTAAAACAGGATCCTCACAACACTTAGCTTATAGAGGGTCAAGTGAGCTAATGCAGGAGAGTGCCTGACGCAAGACAGGACTCAATAAATGTTAGCTTCCTTTCTCTTCTGTTAGATGAAGATCCATAGAAGTGCCCTGGTGCAGAATCTAAGAAGGTGTGGGACACCTCGGTGGCTCAGTCTGTTAGGCGTCCGACTGCGGCTCAGGTCATGATCTCACTGCTCATGAGTTTGAGCCCCTCGTTGGGCTCTGTATTCACAGCTCAGAGCCTGGAGCCTGCTTCAGATTCTGACTCCCATCTCTCTGCCCCTCTCCTACTTGCACGTACGCTCTGTCTCTCAAATATAAAAAAAAATAAAAATTTTTTTAATAAAAAAAAGAATCTAAGAAGGTTCTAGAGGAGCAGGCATTGTGCTCGTCCCTTGACTGAGCTCAGGCCTTCGCCTCTGTAGTCATTAGCGATCACTGGATGTGGCCCTGCATCACACCTCGATGAGTATTAGGCTAGGTTTTTAATCCCAGCCCAGCTACCTCTTAACTGTAGGAGTTTGAATGCATCACATAATATCCTTGGACTCCATTTTATCATTTGTAAAATGGGGCTAATAGTAATTCTTGCCTACCTAACCTAATTTTCGTAGAGTTTAAATGAAATACTCTAAGTGAGTGGAAACATCTTTTCTGTTTCTGGCTATGTGAGAGCTGATTCTTCATAGTGGTAAAAGAGTACTTCATTTTAGGTTCCTTAGTGGGGCAGAAGGGTGACCTTGCTGTTCTTTCTTCCTAGGAAATGTTGGCAGTAGATGCCCCTAGGAGACATAAAGTATCCGTCCATGTTCTTGCCAGGGAAATGGATTCCTGTAAGTATTTAATATGGACTTTTTGTAAAGTGTGTTTTTGGGCACACGATGGCTGTCCCTTGCCATAGACACATCCCTTAAAGAGCACCAGAAAGTAAATAGGTAGAGAAGGGGACCAACTGGAGACAGGGTCTACTCTATCTATCAAAGCAAAAATATGGGGAAAAGGGAAATGAGGCAGTGAAGGAAACAGCCAGCGTTAGGTGGCACAATGCCATCCTGGCCCTGGCTTTACAAGAAAACACAGCTAGTTGCTGGTAGGACGTCTTCAGAGAAGCTGTGTGGAACCACTGCATGTGAGGAGGAAGAGCAAATAGTTCATTCGCTCAGTCTTTCCATCTTCTATCTCTGAATGGCCAAGATTTACTCCACAGTCATATCTCACCTGGCCTTCTGGGTTGTTTTACTGGATCCTTCCTGGTGGTCAGAGCCTCAGAGACCAGTGAGTGCAGACGTGGGCACTAAAGTTGCTGTGGGCGAGGCTTCATAGCCACGGTAACGTGATGAGCCATCGTTGGGGAGAGTCTGGATAAGACGTAGAGCCAGCAGTCAAGGTCTTGGGGAGCAGGCAGCCTGGGAGGACATGGGCCTGGTACAGTTTCTTAATGAGCTGAGTCCGGTTTCAGTTTGTTGTTGTTGTTGTTGTTGTTGTTGTTGTTGTTGTTGTTGTTTTCAATTGCTCTTGTATGCCAGTATTTATTAGGTAAGAAGTAAACCTTTCATTTTCTCACAGGTCCTGTCGTTGGAGAGTTCCCATGTCAAAATGATATAAATTTGTCACAAGCACCAGCCTTGCCACAAGTAAGACATGCAAATGTCATTTTAGATTGCATGGTTAGAGGACTTCCCACATAGAAGGAGCTTGTTCAGCAGGACACGTAAGACTAGAAGTATCAGGTCACCACGTGTTTGAGCCTCTACTTTATATTCCTCCCTAAATCTGAGGTCGCCATCTGACAGCTCCCAGGGGAGGAGAGCGGGGGGCGCCTTTGTCATCTACGGAAAGACTCAGCCTCTGACCTGGTTTGCTTTTGCTTCTAGTTTGAGCAGTTATGTTACTCTGCAGCGAGTCCTCTCCAGCCACGCCTGTACCTTGCCCTTTCCCCAGTGCCTGCATGTCTTTAATCCTCTGGAGAGGTTGGCATTTACTGGCAGTGTGACCAGGCCCTTGCTGAGTGGGCACGTCAGCCTCTGCCGTTCTGCTGAGGTCTTGGTGTGTGCCAGCTCTGGCGTCCCAGCCCTTGTGTGCCCAGAGAAGAGCCAGGGATCTTCTTTCTGGTCCTGGGTCCCACTGGGGACATTCCCCATAGGTTTGCATAGACCCTCTGGCCCTGATGATCCAGGAAGATCAGATCATAATATGTGGGGTAGAAACGAGTGTGTATGTTAAAAAAAAAAAAAAAGAAAGTTGATGTCTTATTCCGTCTGCTTTTTTAGGCCATAAACACTGAGAGAAACCTTTTTCTTCTTTGCAGCCTGAAGTGATTCAGAACATGACCGAGTTCAAGCGTGGTTTGCCACTGTTTCCCCTTGTGAAACCACATATTAACTTCATGGCTGCAAAACTCTGAAGATTCCCCAAGGGTGGGAGAGTGCAAGTGGATGCATCCCTGGGTCTTCCTGGGGCCAGGGAAACAACCTTGGCCACTTTCATAGTTTCTGGTTCACTATCAGACAGACAAACAGAAAAAAAAGATGTTGTCAAATGTCATTATGTAGAATATTAAAAATCCAAAGTAATTAAATGACAGAATCTTATAGATGTAGAATATTTTTTAAATACATGCCTCTTAAATATTTTAAAATTTTTTTCATTACTGAGAGAAATTTCCCTTATATAACAGTACTTAAAATGATGAATGATATTCCTATAGAATCTTCCTTCCATATTCTGTAAAATAGTCACTTGTCAGAAGAAAATATGTTAGTTTTTGGTTGTGTTTTTCTAAAAGCCTCCTAGGTTGACAGAAAAGGCTTTAAAACCTTTAGAAAGGTAATACCTTTTTAAAAACTGATTCTCAAATTTGCTTTCTATTTGGTGGTTTCATGTAAATCAATGGAGAACATTAACATTTGGCAGATAATGAAAAAAGCAAAATGATTTTCTTTTATTAGTGAAATTGCTGATTATATAAGGCATGGTTTTAATCTTTTTATAAAATTTGAACATGTTTTTTATTCAAACTAGTAAAATGCTGGAAAACCCTAGAACGCCCTACTTATTTACAATGCTAGAAATAGACTTACCCTACATCAGTTTTGTCCCAAACGGAATTTCTCAGGATTACTGTGATTTGTTTCTTTCTGATTGAATTATATTGACATTCTTGTTCATAGTCGGTTTGCAGTGTTCCCTCAGTTTTACCTTTTCCCCTCAACAACATTTGTTGTATTTATTTAATACATAGGGTCAACTTCAGATCCCACTGAGTGTGTGACATGCTTTTCCAACATCAGCTACTCTAAACACTTGTAACTTTTTACTACCATGATATTGCAATCAGTATATGAACCAAAATATTTGCCCTATTATGAATTTAAAAGAGAAGTACCAAGCCACCTTTTTGAAGGTATTAAAAATAAAGCCTTGATTCTTAAATAGTGTGATCTCCAGAAGACTCTCAAATCCCTTTTTGCTACCAGTCTAATATTGCCTTAAGTGTTAAGTTATTTTTTGAATATATAAATATAAACATAACAAACACAGATAACGACTGGAGTGGACTTTTAAAAAATATTTTTTTCATGAGATACTATTTTAGATGAAATTGTTACTGTAGATTTAACAGCTGTTTTGAAATATTTACTGTTGTTAAAAGTTGCTTCAAGAGAAATTGTGAATATACTTCCACATACAGGCACTGGTACCCGTAAGTGGCCCTGTTCACTAACTCAGGCAAAGTAAAGAATGGCATTTTCAAATGACATTTTACCTCGCTAGGAGTTGATTTGCCAGGACTTTTTTCTGTAGAGTCATGTCTTACAACATCTTAAGTTTTCACTTTTGCCATTTTCCAAATAATCTACATTTGGGGCAAGAATGATATAATCACAACTGTGGAGGCTGCTTTCAAAAGCAGGGCTCCATTTCTACTGTCAGATAAATGTGGTGCTGTAACTGTCTTTTTATCCCTACCTTCAGGAGCTTCCTTGTGATGAAGCCTGTCTTTGTCCATCAGAAGGTGCGTGAGTCATCGCTTCCTTCTGGTTTTATGCATTTGTAGACTATGCAGCTTTTCATCAAACTGCAAAAATAAACAAGAGGGATCTACAATTAGCCCTGAGTGTTTAAATCCACCACTGTAAGAGTAAATAAGCCACCTACCTTCTCTGTGGGAAATTATGTGCTATTGAGTAATTTTTAGCTCTTTTTTAAAAAATGGGTGAAATGTAACTGTCATTTTTATGAGAAAGTCACATGAAGAAATCTGAACAGAATCTCATGTAGTCTTCCAGGAACCTATGATTGGGGTTCAGTGTGTTCCAGCATTGTCTGGTGTCCAAATTGGATCTAGAGCTACTGTTGGATCACTCAGGCATACTAATGGATTCACTGAAATGGGTCCAGGCTGCAATCCATGAGCAGTAACAGACTACCCCAGATAGTGCGTTTTCTCAGTGCCTAGCAAATGAGATTTGTGGAAAACAAACTAAGTTATTAGTTACTTGTGACTTTAAAAAAAAAAAAAGTCTTCTTTTCAACTAGTTGATGTGGAAGAGAGAGCATGTGACACAGCCAGTATGGTGGAGTGCTAGGGTAATCCTGTTTACAATAAATTGCCTGAATTGAACCTCTGGAGTTTGCATTTGTGTTATTTTTACAGTTTTAGTGTCTAGCCTACCTCTCAGCATCCTGATTTGACAACATTTTTTGCTTTCGGTATTCCTAAGGCAGAAAGCAATGAATTAGTTTTTTGAAAAAAAATCTTTTGAGTGCATCTGGGTGACAGTGATTTAGTCAAATAAATGGGTCAATTTCACACTCATAAGGGTGGATCGCTTTTGTCAAAGGAATCCTGGTGTGAGAGGCTGAGTTCATTGCTGTGCATATTGTCACTGACCCCAAATCCAGAAAGATTTGTCCTTTGCTTTACAGGGAAAAGAGTAAAAAGGGTAGAAAAGCAAAATATTTCCTCTACAGCTAGTGTTTCGTCTTCTTGTCACATCTCCAGCAGCAGGCTAGCCAGTTATCTTGTCCAACCCCTGGCCCCTGACACCCTGTTAAGATAATCTTTCTACTAATGTGGTTGCCAGCTGGCCCAGATGAGCATTTCAAGAGGAAATGTGCTCTTTCCTCAGTTTGCAGCCTAGGACCTTGGTGCAGCCCACACAGGCAGCATTGTGCTTGGGGATGACGCAGCGGCCCTAATGAGAGGCCCAAAGCAGCACCCGCTTTTATGGCATGGGGCAGTTTCCCCCTCGCTTACAGTGCATAGGGGAGTCATCTGAGCTCCTCACCATATACTCTAACATAGCTTCGCAGAATGTTTAGATTTATGGTGAAAACCAAGGATTCTCACTCTCATCCCCATTGTAAGGGTGGTTCCTGCCCTCCTAATCCTTCCCTGGCAGGGCTTCAGACCCGTCTGCTCCTGGACCCCCGTTATTCTGTGCTGTCTACCAAATGAACTTAATTGTCCTTGTCAACCTGAACATCATACACCCCAAGGTTTCTTGTGGCAGTGCCTGTTGGTAGTCCTGAATTATTTACAGCATTTTGGACCACTCATGCCCTAAATGAACATTAACCTTATAAAGCACTTTACAGATTTCAGACCATCCTGACAGACATCTTCCACAATAATCTTTTTTTTTTTTT